CGGAACCTATCAAATCACGTCCGATTGACCTCAAATTTTGCACACAAGTCATAAATGACATAATGGACCTATTCAAATTTTCAAAATCATATTCCGACCCCGATATCAAAAAGTTAACCCCCCGGTCAAACTTTTCAAAAATTCGACTTTCCGCCATTTCAAGCCTAATTCCACTACGGACTTTCAAATAATTTTTCGGACACGCTCCTAAATCCAAAATCACCATACGGAGCTATTGGAATCATCAAAATTCAAATCCGAGGTCGTTTACAAATAAGTCAACATCCGATCACTATTTTAATTTAAGCTATAAACCTTGGAACTAAGTGTTCCAATTCATTCCAAAACCTCACCGGACCCGAACCAATTACCCTGGTAAGTCATATAACAACTGTAAAGCACAAATTGAGCAGTAAATGTGGGAACTGGGCTGAAATACTCAAAATGATCGGCCGGGTCGTTACACTAATATAGTAATATTTTTTGGCATTTAGACGATGGTTGTATTATTATACATAAAATTTCTCTCATTAATTAAATTTTATTGCTCCTTCATATAAATAAATATTTAAATCATCATGTATCATTATTAACGTACAACGCACGTTAGATACTAGTAAATTTTAAAGTATATTTGTAAGAAAAAGGAGAAACAACAGATATGGAGTAAAGAAGAGGTAAAGAGTTTTTTTCAATAAGGTATTTTAAGAATTAAAAGAATATTAAAAATAAAATAGTAAATATTTTGATAAAACCAAAAGTGCTTTGACCAACTTGTGGCTTTTAGTTGATTTTGGCCTATATAAGCCAATATGTGCTAATAAACAAGTTTGACTACCTTATAAGTTTAAAGAAACACCTTCTTAAACTAGTGCAACAACTTCAAGCATGTTAAAATCTTTTTAGACCTCCAAAGGCACGGTTAAGTGTGATACTATGATGATCGAATATTTGTAAAAGGCACGAACATGACCTAAAATTTCATTTAAAAAAGTCTGCCTTAAAGACCTACGATCTCGCCGAATTCACATAAAATACTAAAAACAAACCACCATAAAAGCAAAAATGTATATGATACAACTTTGTTGAGATTAATTAATATTAGGTGTTGGAATTATACTTTACATTAGATCTTCTTTGTGTCATAAGCCTCTTTAATTTTGTTAGAAATTTGTATATTAATCTTGTTGGAATTACATACAGTGAGACTTAGAAATAGTCTTATGATGATAAATTATTGAGTATTAAAATGAAATTGACCCAAATAAAGCGGACTAGTACAAAAATTACAAAAAGTTATATGGATCGACCCAAATTAATTTGAAATTGGTGTTAAACTTCAAATATCTCATATTTCTCGAATGTCCTAAAAATATTACTCCATAGTTTAGACTTCCTAAACTCATGAAGGCAGGGTCGGATGTTGACATAAAGAGTCGTACAAAAATGACAATGAAACTCTACATAATAACATGTATGGTTATGGTAAATTAAATGATAATAATATAATCCAACAGTTCTAATACAATATGCTAATGTTCTTCCCTTGTTACATATATTCCGTAAGTATAGACATCTGTTTTAATATTTTAACATAAACATGTTAGAACAAATCGAATTGTTCCAATGGCCATTTAGAATAATTAACACCTTTAAATTGATCAAAATGGAAGATGCGTGTAGCCATACAAGTGAGGATGCGTGGTTTCTTTCAATTTTTAACCAGAAACAAAGACTAGACAAAAAAGTGAAAAGATGTCGAACGAGGAGGCATGTAAAGTTCTAAACAACTAACCAAACGTTTGGCCATACATTTCAAAATTTGTTTTGAAAACTTAGATTTGGATGAAGTTTGATTTGAAGATAAAAATGTGTTTGGACATCAATTTTCAAAATCTATTTCACCTTTTTTTTGAAAAAACTTGAAACATGACTTATACCCACAAGTTCGAAAAACTATCACAATTATCCAATAATACCTTCATCAATAACATTCATTATATTATCGCAAACCATAGTCCTGAACATAAATAAATTTGGTACAAAATTATCATTTTTATAATGAACTACATAATACAGTATCAAATGACCGAGAAGACGAAGCATCATTGTTATAAAATAATAAATGATTAGCTCTTTTATAAAATATAAAAGTTTGGGGTAATTTTTTAAAAATGTAATAGTAATATTTTGGGCGGGATTTGAGTTTTGAATTTTTGGAATTTGTCAAAATAATAAAATTTATGAGCAAACATATATTTGTTAAAAAGGACCCAAATAAATTTTGACAAAATCTACGGCTAAACAAGTCATAAATATTGAGAAGAGTTAAACATATTGAAAAGATGTCGAACGAGGAGGAGGCATGTAAAGTTGTAAACAACTTAATAAATATATAGAGAAGAGTACTCAAACATATTGAAAAGGAACCAAAGGATGAATAAAAAACGTGGCTGAAAATTGATAGGGTAATGGATGAAAGGTGCACATTGAATCAATGATTCCACCCATTTTGTCTCAAAATCTTTCCAAAACAAAACTCAATATTTATGCGACACTTTTTTTGCTTTTCATGATTTAAACTTTTAATATGCATTTGAACATACAATTTTACAGTTTTTCAAAATAAAATTTATTCATATTTAAAAATTACGTAAAAAGTATTACTAAGTTATAGTAATTAATAATTTAAATTATTTAAAAGACATATAAAAAATTATTATAAAAGAATAATTCGTTTGGCTCTCGGCGTCCGAATATTTTCATTATTATTCGGACGGAATAACTAGCACAAAACCAGGAGTGCAAGTTAGTTTAAAAAGTTCACCATGAAAGAGTAAAATGAAAGGAAATAGTCACCCAAATGAGTTTGGTGTCTTTTAAAAACAGAATAGAATAACGAAGAAAGAAGAAAATGACATGTTAACCAATGTATTAGCTTGAAGATTACAATCCTTGAATACCCTTTGTACCTTTCAAATTGAGATAATCCTTGCATTTACTCTACTTAATATATACTTTTTCAAATCATCCCCAACCCCTACCCATTTTCTTTTACAAATTTTGACTTTTGAATCCAAATTAAATACGATTAGTTGGCCCTTAATTACAACACTCAGTCAATTATTACGCATTAAAGCCCCCTTTAGAATTAATTAATAACCTCAGTTTTTTGTTTGTTTGCCTTATTTGCGGCCTTAGGTTGCCAAATCCAACCTCTATTATTTTTATACATGCAGTGATTTGATATGTGACAAGACTTTTCACAGTAGAAGCACGAGGGAGGATCCGAGGGGTTTCTCTCCTTTATTTCTAAACCCGCCATGGTTAGATATACTGGTGTCAAGATACTATCGTTGCGCGTGCGCGTGTGCTCTATATAGGTAAGGATAGATTTTAAAAATTATTTAAATATTATTAAACTATATGATTGAGTTATAAAATAAAATATTAAAAAGCACAAGCTCTTAAAAATGATAAATATTGATCTAATTTTGCTAACTTAAATTTTTGGTGTGGGTATTCAAGTCTTAAAAATATCAAAAGCACTTACTTTTTAGAGAAACAACTTTTATAGTAAATCTAATATTTCTATTTAATTAGACGTAATTATTATTAGATTTTACAATAAACATTCCTATCAAAGTGTTAAATTTTTCTCTTAAATTATATTTCTTAGTTATAATTGAATATGTAAGGAAGAGAATAGTTGAAAGGTGCATACTGCATATACTGAAATTGGCGTATTTAATGATTAAAAACGTCGACGGATCCAATAATTAAACTTTATGATTTCAACCTTTAAAATTCTTAGTATTTAACTCAATATATACTTAAAGTTATGGGTTCATATCCACAATTTATTTCAATTTCAATGAATTTTTGCATATAAATTTATATTCTGCGCAAAAGTTATGGGCTCAATTGAACCCGTTGTTGTATGACTACATCCGCCTCTAGCTTCAAGCACTTAACCATGGTGAGTTATATACATTCTCATCTTACTAAATCGCTTAACCATGGTGAATTAACATAGTTTGGTGTAAACATCTAGTATGGATAAGGATTTATAATCGTAAACACTTTTACATAACTATGGGGCATATTCGTTCTTTAGATGTTGCAAGCAACTTATCAACAACAACAACGGCCTAGTATAATTCTACTAGTATGGTCTGGGGAGGGTAGTGTGTACGCAGACCTTACCGCTACCCTAGAGTAGAGAGGCTGTTTCTGATAGACCCTCGGCTCCCTCCCTCCTAAAACTACCTAGCTACCTTGCTCTTGGGGTGACTAAAACTCACAACCTCTTGGTTGGAAGTGGAGGGTGCACACCACTGGGATTTCAAGCAACTGATCAAGATTCAAAAATGCCCTACACTTGCAGTAGATTAATTAACTAAAAGTATATACGTTGATGAATATGCTAAAAAGTACTCTGACATGTATTACAAGTATATTACACATTATTTACATACAAACACACACGACTAGTTGGCAGAATCGTAGAAATTATCCAAATGTCTAAAAAAAGAATTAAAAAACTCACACCACTCTTTGATCGGTAAGACAGCCTCATATATAAAGTATTTTGTATTTAGGTAGTATTCGGAAAAGAACCGCAGTTCAAAGGGTATAATGTAAAATCTACCCTAGTTCAAGAATCTATTACAACCGTTAATGGTTGATTTACGGCCCGAACGACGTGACCAACATACAAAGACAACCTTACAGCTGAACCACGAGTCTCTTTCACTCTTTGATCAATATTATAGCAAAACCCTATTTCTGCCTGTCGAAGTTGCTAAGAATTAAACTCTCTCCAAAGGCATCTTGCTCAAGTAAATACTCACAAAACTCGCTATCTGGTGCCCACCACGGCGGGTACAGCCAACCGTCAACCGAGTCACTTAACCTAAACTCATTCTTCGGCTCGTCCGAGTCAAAGCTTCCCTCCAAACTAGGAAGCTCTATAATTTCACCCAACTCGACGTCTGATGCTGATGTTATTGTCTCCAATGTACAGTCAGAATTTGAAGAAGAGATAGAACTAATAATTGGCTCCTCCATTGAAGCTGCTTTAGCTGCAGCAGCTTGAACATCTCTTGGTGATAGTGAAACTGGGCGAGGCAACGAGTTTACGAGATGAGGAAAATTTAGAATAGATGAGTTCTTTTTTATACTCAATGCGGCAACATCATGTGCTCTAGCGGCCATTTCTGGGGTAGGGTAAGTGCCCAGCCAAATACGTGACTTCTTACGAGGTTCACGTATTTCAGACACCCATTTTCCCCAACTTCGCATACGAACTCCTCTATAAACTGGGTATCTATTCCCAGTATTAGCACTCTGTCTTGTTTTTCGTTTCGTCATTCGGCTGTGTTTTTTCTGGTTAATGTATGCCTTTTTGGATGAGTGTGAGTATTTATTGAATGTCAAAACAGAGGAGGAGNAACGAGGACAAAAGTTGGAGTTGCCGTTTGATGGGGAGTGACAGGGAAGGAGGAGCGTCTTTTTAAATAGAGTGAAGAGAAGAAAAATAGACTGCTCATAAAAATTAGCCTAAAAATTACTATAAACAAGCTAAATATTTATACATGAAGTGTATAGAATTTTCACTAGTCAGTTTACAGCGACGTCGGAAAAAAAGAAGTTTACAACGACAATAATTTAGACTAACAATTAAAGATTAGATGTATATAAAATGATTAATATGTTCTGCTGTTAACTTTAAACGTTAATAATAACACCTTATAACTTCCATTGGTGACGATTAACCGACCAACCTACCAATGCACCATTTTAAAATGATTAACTAATTATGTATATAGTTACCCTTCCCCCTTCCGCCGATATAATTTAAAATAACTTTTGTATATAGTAGGTAATTAACATGTTTTATACTTGACCTTTATGTTTTTAGTTATTAATTTCAGTTCTTATGAATAATTATATTCTATAATATACTACTTTATTATATTTTATATAACATAGTGACTGAACACAAAATTTAAGAAGGTAAAACCTTTTGTCACATGCTAGAAGTACCTTCAGAAACTTCTAATTTTAAACGTACTACAATTAGATGATTAGAAAAATATGTCATTAAGAATTAAGTAAAGAAATTTAAATTAAAAATCTTTTTAACTATAAAACAATATTTTGTCAAGTACGAAACTACAAAGGCGCACTATTACAAATATATAATGTATTAGAGCGACTCCTAGTGTAACGGGACCAACAACAAGGATGAGTCATCTATTCTTTAATGTAGTTTGTTTTTAGCTTGAAATCAAAATCATCCACGTATCCTCATTTAATTCATATGTCTATTGTGTAGAACCATTATACTTTTGTCTCTTAAACGTGTTCAAATTTCAAAATCTGCCCCATCTCCTTACTCTGCTGAAAAGCTACCTCCTAGTTCTAAACATAATTTATTTCCTCTAACGACATTCCTTCACTAAAATGTCCAAATAATTTTCCAAAATAATTATATTTCCTATATGATTTAAAAAATAAATAGTATGTAAAAATAGTGACGAATGAATGAGGCATTGAGGAAATCTTTATATTTTAAATTTTATATCCGTGATGATTAAGGATATAAATAGGATGTTACATTAGTGATAGATGAATGCATAACTGTGGTTTTTCGTTGACTTCTGATTAATTAAAGTAAGATTAAGTATATGACAGGAGAGTAAAATAAGAATCATGTTGTAGTATTCTTCAATTACATATTTCGACCAAGTCCATCACTAATTCAAATTGCCGTACACGACAACAGGCATCTTTCTCCATTCAGACAATAAAAATTGGAGCAATTATATAGTGTAAAATATGATATGACACGTGGCTGACTAAAAGGAGGATGCGTGAAATCCAAGATGGAATGGCTGAGGACCGAACACAGCCACTGCGCTTACGGATAACGTTCATAAAAGTGTATTAAATGCTCTGCGCCGGTAGCATTTACTAAGGAATATTCTACAACATTAAGAGCGATGGTTCGTTACAAAGAATTTGGCATTTACGCTCAACGTTATATCTTCATCAATGACCCTCATAATTGACATTAAAGGAGGGCACGATCCTAGAACCTTCTTTCCTAGACATAGCCATAAATAGTGAGCTCAGTTATCATTGTAAAGGACACGGAATTTCTGACAAGAACATATACTATATTTTATACAAAGCTTTATACAATTTCACTATCTGGCTTTTTGATTTCATCATTGCTGTATTCGGAAACCGTGTTCACGGAATCACTATCTTTGCTATTTTATCTATATCACAAGGCTAAGTACTGTGTATTTCTTCGATTATTATATTATTTCAGGATCAAATTAGTTCATTTGTCTAGAAACCACGTATAAATTCAACTGTACTGTTTTACAGGTAAACAGTTTGGCGCCCACCGTGGGGCCTAGACAGTCATGCAATTAAATTGATCCTTGCCTTTTTTACTAACGTGTTTTGATTATTTTGTCTTAGAAAAAATCACAAAAAGAAAATGGCAAATAACATTGTTAACGATGCACGCAACCCTGAAATTCGAGGGGATCAGCCTCATTTCGAGGACTCGATCAGTGATACCCGCAATGAGGGAATGACGCCACACCGGTTCATGACAGGCGATACTCTCGACGGGTTCAGGAGACAACTCCCGATGATGCTGACGAGGAGCAAGTAGCGGATGCTGCGAGGATCGTGCAAGAGCAACATGCAATCATCCTAGGCCATCTCACGCAGCAGCATCTGGTTATGATGGAACTAAAGCAAGCGCTATCAATTGCTTCAAATAATACAAGCAGGCACGATCCAACTCCTCCCATTACTCCCGCATACCAAACAACGCAGAGAGTCGACAACAACACTCGCAGGGGTGAAGTCGGCTCCGATGGGGCTGGGGGGAGTAAATCAGGTCTTAACAACGAGAACGATTCATTTAAAGATGAGCTTTTATGGTTCACGAGGGAAGTAAATGCCCGCATGAATCAAATCTCGGGCACACCACCAGAATTGAAAGGCCCGAACTCGAAGAAGTATGTTCAATTACCGTACAAGCCAAGTGTGGCACCAGAACTAATCCCGAAGCGTTTCAAAATGCCTGAAGTTCCAAAGTATGATGGAACTTCAGGCCAACAGGAATATATTACCACCTACACAACACCGGTGAAAGGAAATGATCTAGCTCCACACGAAATTGAGTCTGTGTTACTGAAGAAATTCGGCGAAACTCTCACGAGGGGAGCCTTAATGTGGTATTCATTACTGCCCGAGCATTCCATATATTCTTTTGAAATGCTCACAGACTCTTTCATTAGAGCTCATGCCGGGGCCAGAAAGGTGCAAGCCCGGAAGGCCGACATATTCACAATCGCACAAGGAGAATCAGAATTATTATGAGAGTTTGTTACCCGATTCCAGAAAGAAAGAATGTTGCTCCCGACCGTCCCGGATGAATGGGAAGCTGAAGCATTCACCAAAGGACTGAATCCGATAAGTTCAGACGCTTCCCGGAAGCTCAAGGAGAGCCTACTTGAGTTTCAAGCAACAACCTGGGTAGATGCTCACAACCGGTGCGAGTCGAAGATAAGGATCGAAGATGACCAGGTCAGTTCTACATCATTGTCCAAAGGACGGGAGAAGAACAAAGAAAAATCAAAGGATGACCACGACACGGATAGGCGGACTACGAGGGGTCTGCTTTTGCCCTACGAGTGTACCGAAGGTCGTGGCAGAAATTTTCGAGCATCAAACAAGTTCACCATTGATGGAGGGACTGATCGTGGTCGAAACAATAGATCACTTCAAGATAAACAAACGTCGGGGTCTCGAGATCTTTCATACCCTAGGTTATCATAATATAACTTCAACATCAGTGTAGTGGAACTGTTGTTAGCCATGAGGAACATTAAAGAAGCACGATTCCCGAGACCTATGAGGTCTGATTCCAGCCAGAGGGATCCCAATTTATGGTGCGAATACCACGGGACAAACGGTCACCGGACAAGGACTTTCGACATCTTCAAGAGGAGGTGGCAACGCTATTGAAGAATGGTCATCTCCGAGAATTCTTGAGCAATCGAGCTAAGAACAATTACGGTCGCAACAGAGACAACACAGAATCCTCAAAAGCAGGAGAAGAAACCCCACGTCAAACGATCAATATGATCTTTGGGGGGAACGAGATTAGCGGGGTCACATTTTTGGCGGCAAAGAAGACTAAAGTATCGATAACTCACAGCAAAAGACTCTGGGAGGACGATATCACTTTTACGAAGGAAGACGCAGATGCATTACTGTTACCGCACAACGATGCACTGGTAATCTCTTTAAATGTGTTGGATTTTAAAATTAAGCGTGTTCTAGTGGATCTAGGAAGTTCGTCTAGTATCGTACAATGGAGAGTATTGGAACAAGCTAAACTCACCGGAAGCATTATTCCGGCAACATAACTACTTGTTGGATTCAACCTTGCGAGCGTGACGACCCGGGAAGAGATCTTGCTGCTCACGAATGCTTAAAGAATAATGAAAATAAATCTCTTCGAAGTGGTGGATGGTGATATGGGATACAACATCATCTTAGGAAGGCCATGGTTACACGAGATGAAAGTTGTACCTTCGACGTATCACCAATTGCTGAAGTTTCCAATGCCCGAAGGAATCAAGCAGATAAGAGGTGACCAACCGGCAGCGAGGGAGATGAATGCAATCTCAGTTTCCAATATCAAAGCGATAGAGTGCATGACATAGCAATTATAGGAACCAGCGCCTACTCCCGAGTTAGAAGAGGTTATTCCAGGGGTAGAATTGTCATAACAATATTAGGTGCCGAGATATTTCCAAGTTCCGAAAGAAACAGACGCAACAAAATCAACGGCAGAGGAACTAGAGCAAGTGTCATTATTCGAAGAATTCTTAGAAAGAAAATTTTACTTGGGAACAGGACTGCACCCCGAGCTCAGGTCTGGTTTTATTGAATTCCTTAAAATTAACGCTGATTGTTTTGCATGGTCGCACGAGGATATGACAGGTATCCCGACGGAAATAGCCATGCACAAGCTGAGTCTGGATCCCAACGTACCACTGGTACGATATAAGAAGCACCCTATTGCCGAGGCCAGGAATAAATTCGTCAAAGAAGAGGTAACCCGCTTGCTTAAAATCGGTTCGGTCAGAGAGGTAAGATATCCAGACTGGTTAGCCAATGTAGTAGTAGTTCCTAAGAAGAAAAATAAATTTCGTATGTGTATAGATTATAAAGATCTTAATAAGGCGTGCCCGAAAGATTTATTTCCAATACAAAATATCGATCAAGTGATTGATACTACGACCGGTCACAGACTGATTCCTTGATGCTTATTCCAGGTACAACCAAAATAAGATGAACCCGGAAGATCAGGAAAAGACTTCATTTATAACAAATTTC